CCATCTAATTATTAAAAACTCATCCGTTTGGGGTTTTGAACAAACACAAAAAAAGAGAGAAACCCAAGAGAGTGCAATCAAATCGAAAATGGATTTCCACTTCCACTTTATAAACCATTCCAAACTAGTAAAGAATGAGAGAACTTAAAGATTTAGGACAAAAAGTACAGGGAAATGTATTCAAAACATCTTGGGAAAAGAGTAGAGAAAGAAACATTTTGAACACACCAGAGAAACCCAAAAACAGAGACATCTTATACCTTGTTTTTGGGAGGAAGCATGTATGCCTTGAGTCGCAATCGGAGGTCATGAGCAGTCTCCATTAGGTACTGAGAGGAACGAATCAAAACCTCATCGACTGGGCCAGCCACGGGCCATGACGCCTTCATCAGAGAACCCGCCTGTCAGGGGTAACCAGGAGAGGAGTCAAAGCTCATTTTTTATCTTTAAAGGGAACACAATTAGGCCTTAATAATTACACAATCAGAAGTCACAGTACTTTTGTAACATTGCTAGGAGGCATTATTTTTTTGAGCATCTGTAAAAATACATGATTTCAGCTTTTGGTACCAAGCACAGGATGAGGGGAAAATAAAGGTAGTTGAGGGGGCTCTCTTGTTGTTGCTAAGCGACAACTGAGAAACATATCTCCAGCACAGCAGCACTCCTTTATAATCACAAATTTGAGTGTTAAAAATATTCCTGGCTCAAGAATGCTGCTGGTGGAAGCGTTTAACTGCGTGTGTACTGGTTTCATGCTGCAGAGGAAAGGCTCAGTGTGAAGACAGGCTCCCAGCGGACTTGTATTTTACCACTGGGAACTTGTCAATGGCCATTTCACACCAGTAAATGAGCAGCAGAAACAGTGCTTCTACGGGCAAACACGAACCGTTTCTGAATGCAAATGAACACATTATGGTGACAGGTCAGGGTTTGCAGCACTCCTCTATTGTAAGTAAAAGTATACAACGCAGAAAATCCCTACAAAAAAGGGTAGGAGGGGAGAAACATAGCTATGTTTATACCCTGAGACTTAAAAGAAGAAAAGTACCAAAAAATCTGTTTCTATACCTTCCCCAGTAGACTCCATGTGTATTCGCAGAGGTGTGGACAGATGGGGGCCAGCAGCAGTGTTTGTCTCTCTATGAACTGGAAGACAAGGTCTCTGTGCATGCCTTCGATGGCCAGCTCACGATACTTATCTTTAGCCGCCTAAAACAGAAGCATGAAAACATTTGATATATGTTGGAACCCAAATGCATTCCATAAGACCAAGCATGACATTGTTGATCACACCTGCATCTTAACTTTAAGATGATCTTGAGTGAGTAGCACTTTTACAAATTACTCAATTACAGACATTTCAATGGAAAATAACTTCTTAAGAAGTTCTAATGTCAACAAGCTTCAGAACAATTCCTATTCTTAAGCTGAAAAACAAAAACCTTTAAGATCTTATCCAGTGTGGTAAAGTATTTACCTGGAACTCAAAAAAGCCGCTCTTGAGGGCCTCCTTGTACATCATCTTCTCATAATGCTGTTCTGTCTTCAAGATGCCAGCATTCATTTCACTGGATAAAAGATCATATTTGTAGTTAAAACTACACAAAAAAAGAAAAAAAAAATCTGTCCCCCTCTCTCTGACAAAAAACGCACTGCTGCTGGAATGGAATGGAATGAAAAAAAAAAAAGCGCTCTCCCTCTCATCCCTGGCACACATGCACAGCTGCTGGAATGGAATACAAAAAGAAAAAAAACACGCTCTCCCTCTCATCCCTGGCACACATGCACAGCTGCTGGAATGGAATACAAAAAGAAAAAAAACACGCTCTCCCTCTCATCCCT